CGCGCTTCACTTCACTGTCAAGTTTACAAACCGACTCGACCTTTTCGATAGCACGAAAGTGTCGCGGTCTAATCCTCTACCAAATACGACCTTGGCTGTGCAGATGAACACAACCTTCACGCCAAGCCAATACATTCAACGGATAATTCGAACTTGTCGAAAATCGGCTGAGTTCTGTATCCTCGCGATTCACCCTATTTCCGAAGCAAGTTGCCTACAAATTCCGACGTATAAGGAAACACTCGTACCAGAGCTCCTAAAGCCGTACGAATCTCATAAGGTCAACACTTCAAAAAGCACCGTAAAGAAAAACGCTTCGTTTCGGAGAAACAACTTACGCGACCTCTCGGTCCTAATTGCTCTAGCACAAATCATAAAACTACCTAACATCCAAACAGGAATTTAAGTTTTAATTGCGAATATCCGCAAACGAACCAAAGTATTCCTGCAAAGCAGGGTTAAGACAAAACCCTCGCAACACCGCGCAACATCTTCGAGCCCGCACACGTTCCAAACACGAAACGCGGCATATAAAATAAAACCAACTTTCGGCACTGCGAGACGTCGCAGACGCCCGGAGATTAGTTTTTCGACATAAATACCTTCCTTGATAAAGTCATTTTCTTGGAAGACCTAACAGTCCGTCCGCGACTATAAAATTACGCAAAACTTCTTAACGTACGTATCCCTCGCGAAGGCCAAAACAACGTAAACATTTATCACCTAAAAAGTTTGTTGCTGATCACAACAAACTCGCAACAGTCCTAAACAAACTTAAGTTATCTCGCAGAGATAGCTCTCGAACACCCGACACAAGGGTAATAGCGCTATAAAAGAAATCCAAACTTTTGGTCAGCACTTCCGGGCAACTTAGAAATTGTTCTCGGTGAGATGCTCGGTTCCAACCAGACGAATCGTATAAGCCGAGAACCTATCGCGGATTCTAAATNCAGAGATAGCTCTCGAACACCCGACACAAGGGTAATAGCGCTATAAAAGAAATCCAAACTTTTGGTCAGCACTTCCGGGCAACTTAGAAATTGTTCTCGGTGAGATGCTCGGTTCCAACCAGACGAATCGTATAAGCCGAGAACCTATCGCGGATTCTAAATCGGTATGGAATCAGGTTAAAATCGCAACAGGCAAAACAAAAGCCGACTTGTCATCGCACAGCCTTAATCCGAAAGTAAATCAAGGTCTTGCCCTAAGCCTAGCACACTGGTCGCTAACGTCTCAAGGCATGAATCGAGATCCTAAAGGCATGTCTCTTCGTCTATATCTAAACGCTCACTCGATTTACCAAACATCCTACGACGGGCAACCGAACAAGGCGATCTACTAAGGGAACGGAATGCGAGACGACAACTCGCAGACCTCCCTCAATATCAACTCATATTCTTCCCGCTACATTCATACGAATAAAAACACGCTCTTAAAAACGCAAACTGATTTTTAATAAAGCCGCAAAAGCGGCAGGGACTCAGAGCCGCACACGGCCAGTCCGAAAACTATAACGGCCACGCTCGGCCAGACCAAACGGCTTACGAGGCTAGTCTCAAGGCCGGCAAAGGTCCGGATGCCATCGACATCAATATGCTCGATAATTCCTACACGACATATAACTAGACCGTAAAGGTCTTGCTAGGAAACAGGTCATACGAACCTTAATTCCGAAACGAACTACGAAAGGCTTGATCCCCTCAAAAGGGTACGTAGGCAGCCTTCACAAGGCGCAGCCCTAATTTTAAACGCTTTCCGCCCCCTGGAAAGTGCAAAGATCACTTTCAACGGACCTTTCCGACCATTAATTCCGCCTAACTTAACTAAAACTGGTTAACCACTCGCAAGAACCTTACGCTAAAGGCTCAAGATTCTCACGAGCTGGGGGGCTAACTGTTGGGGTCAAAATCGGTACGACGGAATCAACGGCCGAAACTCCCCGCAGAAATATAAAAGGAATCGTTTTATAAAACCCAAAGAATCGTTTTATAAAACTCGAAGAACGTTTTATAAAACTCGAGAATCGTTTTATAAAACTCGAGGATCATTTTATAAAACTCGAGAAGCCGTTTTATAAAACTCGAAGATCGTTTTTATAAAACTCGAGGATCTTTTATAAAACTCGAGAAGCCGTTTTATAAGACTCGAAGATCGTTTTATAAAACTCGAGGATCGTTTTATAAAACTCGAGAAGCCGTTTTATAAAACTTCAAGATCGTTTTATAAAACTCGAGGATCGTTTTATAAAACTCGAGAAGCCGTTTTATAAAACTCGAGGATCGTTTTATAAAAATCGAAGAATCGTTTTAGAAAACTCGAAGAATCGTTTTATAAAACTCGAGAATCGTTTTATAAAACTCGAAGAATTATTTTATAAAACTTGAGAAATCGTTTTATAAAACTTGAAGAATCGTTTTATAAAACTCGAGAATCATTTTATAAAACTCAAAGAAACGTTTTAAAAAACTCGAAGAATCATTTTACGAAACCGCAAAAAACCGAAACAGCCGTAAAACGCGAACTAGTCACGACTAGTTCGCCCATGGGCGAACTAAGGACACTCCACTAGTTCGCCTATCGGCGAACTAAGCCGGCCCGGCTTAGTTCGCCGGTGGGACACTCCCCGGCTTAGTTCGCCGATGGGACACTCCACTAGTTCGCCCATCGGCGTACTAAGCCGGCCCGGCTTAGTTCGCTGATGGGCGAACTAGGAGTCACTCAACTAGTTCGCCGATGGGCGAACTAAAAACTTCTCGGATATCCCGCGCCTGGATCTCCCGCATCCCTGATTCAAAACTTATGTCTTTCGACACGATCGCATTCTAAACTACGGCTAAAACATCTCCCGCTCCATCTCGATCCGACTTACCGTTCGAGTTTTACGATAAAAACCGTAAAACTTCGCTTTCTCGGAAAGAACTCGAGGAAATCGTATAAAACGGCAACGGTTAAACGAAACACCGAACATTGCCTAAACTATACGATTTATTCGAGATTTCTCGTTAAAATCATAAAAACGCGTTTTTTAATAAAAAAACGCCGAGTAAGTCGTACAAGACGTGTTTTTAATAAAAAAAACACCGAGTAAGTCGTAAAAAACATGTTTTTAATAAAAAGTCGAGTACATCGTAAAACCTTGCGATTAACTCGAGTAATTTATTAAAAACGACGTCAGATCAAGAAACGATCCCGTAAAAAGTCGGAAAACGGTTTTTATCGCAAAACGGCCCGGAAGGACCTAAAACGCGATAAAAACCCATCTCGCGATTTCAATGGAATCTAACCCGCAGATTTGATAACGTTTTGACGGTTTATTCGCAGAAGGAAAATAAAGGCAAGTTTGAAGATAAATAGAAGATTTCCGCGGAAGAAAAGGAATGATCGAGAAAAATGGAAGATTCCCGAAATACTCAAATCCGGCAAAATGGAAAGATCGAACCGTCAAGGCAAGGAGTATATAAACCAGAGGCATAGGGCAGAAGCAAGGGGACGATTTTCAGAGCTCTCACCACCAAAATTAGCATTTAGGAAATTTTCCGTTTTCGTTATCGAGCTGCGTCTCAACTAGGGTTTTAGTCTTAGATTGTTAGAACTAGGAATTTTGCCGACGGCTCACGCAGCTAAGGCAACTCTCGTTGTAACCGTTCTTACACGAATTCGGAATAAGAATCCTTCTTGCTCTCAATCTCGTTTTTATTTTTATATCTTTCAATTTATTCATATTAATCGCGTTCTTGGTTACTTGTCGTTGGCTTTCGCAGAGATCCGGTTCCTCTGGAAACTTAGGGTTTTCCCGAAGTTTCCTTTTTTACGATTTATTGACAGTAGGTGGATTTCGGTTCCCACAAGCATCATCCAGAATTCCGCATTTGGAAAAATGTTGGAAATCGCCGAGAAGCCATTGTTTTCTGGAAGGTTTGCAAGGTATATCATGTCCCGACAACGGAAGATTAACAAGAAATACGAAGTTTGGTTCAGATTCGCAGGTCAACCTATACGATTTTCTTTGCGTGAGTTCGCGATAGTGACAGGTCTCCCGTGTTCCCATTATCCCCCAAAGTCAAGACTGAAATTGAAGGCAAACATTTCAGAGAAACCCTATTGGCCTGATCTGTTCGGAAAAGTGGAAGTGGTGACAGTGGCTTCAGTTGTGAAGATGCTTAGGAAAAGAACGGTTAAAGAGAAGGCAATACGCGTTAAGTATGCATGCCTGGCCATAATTTCCTCTATACTACTGCCGAAAAACTTGAAGATGAAAATACCAAAAGAACATGCAGAGGCAATAGAAGATTTAGAGGAGTTTTTTCAATACCCATGGGGCCGACTGGCTTTCGAGATGTTGACTGGGAGCATAAAAGAAAGAGACGAAGTTAGCCTCTCACAGAATACAATTTCTATTAAAGGTTTTGCGCTAGCAATACAGCTGGTTATGGTCGAGTATCTCCCTTCACTAACAGAGGTTGTTCAAGAGAGTTGCTCTTCTTCAGAGTCACAAAGCGATGACAACGTAGACGAAGGTTCTGATCGATCCAGTAGGAAACATACGCTTAGCCCAAGCCATGCAAGAACAATTGACAAGAAGGACAATGTAAGTCCAGATTTTTATTAAATTTGCCTATGTTGTTGGTGTTAGTAGTAATCGGTTCTATTAAAAAACTGGGTTTCAGGTTTTGGTAAAATGCATAATAGATCAGGATCCACAACAACCGATTGATGAATCAACCCTTAGTTGGAGGGACGAGTTGGTAGACGAGAAAATAGACTATCTTCAGGAGCTAATAGAGAAAGGTCATAGGTTCACGATAGGGACGTTCAAAGGTGGGGCAAGTAAAGCTGATGTTGAGAACATGAAACGCGAAGGAAAGGGACAGGCTAAACAACAGAAATCTAGAAAGAAATCAACAAACACAGGAATCGCCGAGAAAGGTAATGACGAAGATATTGTCATTGGTAACCTCCATGCAAGGGTACTTTCACTGGAGTCAAAACTGGAGGAGGAAATGTTTAACATGGAAGAGTTGAAATCGAAGTATTCGCAATTAGAGGAAACCGTCACACGCACATTCCAGGCGAAGTTCGATAAATTGAAGAAAGATATGGTGGAAAGTTTAACTGCTGCTATACGGGACGAAGTTATAAGGCAGAAAATATCGTCAGAGTTGGATTTCAACCAAGACAAGGGACCTCGAAATGAATTTGAGGTGGAAGAGACCCAATATGAGGCCACTATACGAAACGTGTTAGGGAACATAGATCAATACACAACCCCAAGAGAAACATCAAGAACGTGCGCCGTAAGTTAAAATTTTGGTTTGTTAATGTATTCTAGCAAAATAAATTTTTGTTAATCATTAACCGGATTTTTAAACCTACTGTGCTTATAGGGGATCTCCAGTACCAACAACTGTGGTAACAAGAGTCCAGGAGTGAGAACAGATATAGTAGTGGAAGCGACTGGAAGAGGATCTAATTCATATCAGAGCCACAAAAGTGACAGACTAGATGAGGTATCTCAGTCGAAAGTAAGATTTCCGAAAACACTATTACAGCTAAATAATATAAACAATGATGTGAAAATGATTATTTAGACTAAGATATTGGAGTATACTACAGGCATTGGAAGATGAGGCGGAATTCAACGAACAAGAAGGAGTAGATCAGGTATATTTATAGTTACAAATGAAAAATATCGTTAATGTTAACATGAATCAATTTTCATTTGGTGACTAGGAAAACAACCAAAAAATGGTTGGAGATAAGGACGATGCCGAAGAGCGTTCCAACCTTTTGCCAAATGGGGATATGTGTACAAATGTTGAGCTCGACCAACGAAAGGTAAATATGGTCACATAAAACTTGGTTTACTTGTCGATGCAATAGAAAGAATTTGATTAAGATCTTAGTTACATATAATTTTACAGTCTGATAGAAATACATTATTCTTTAGGAAGGAGATATCAACATGAACAGTGAAGGAGACCAGCAAAACATTCTACACGAGATGGAGGAAGAATTACCAAACAATCAATCAAACTCAGATGATTGTGAAATGAACAGTTTGAGGATTATATTCAGTCCAACAGAGGTACATATTTCTGTAATTTGATAAAAAGTTTCTGATTAACATGTTCATCTTCTATAGGTGGGTAACTATCAATTGTGAATTATGCAGGAAGGCGTGACGAACGCATCAGGACCGGTAATCGAAGTTCCTTCGTTCTCGTTAGGACTAACTCAAGAAGAAGTGGCAAATGTTCAACATGAAAATAACAGCAATGAGACCGCAAATGATGGTGTTGGGGTGACCAATTTATGCCGCAAAATCAAGAGGCAGAGAACCATACCACCTGTGTTGCTAGCCGATTACCACTGTCCTCCTATACTTGTAACCCGAGCAAGAGAGTCCCAGAAACGCATGTTCGCCACCGGAGATGCAACAATAACACTACAGAAGTTTGAAGACCGTGAAACCAAACTAAATAGGCACTTGTAAGTATTTATAACTGAAGCCTTAATATTTTTGGTTAGGCTTGCCTTCATGAGTTTCATTAACTTCGCGTAATAACTAGCATAATCAACGTGGCGGGGATTGCTGTCTCGGCAAAGGACATCATCGACGTAATAGAGAGGAAGAGAGTCCAACCAGCACGGGTAAGTATCCATTTTCATTGCATGTGTACTAACATTATAACGTTGACTAAACAGTAAACACATTACAACTTATTTCAATGCAGGTTGTTGATATGTTGATGCACATGCTACGCGCGGTACAAACGAAGGATGGTGGAGAGAAGTCTTGGAAGCTACTCGACACTCGTTTCATGTCTTCAATAAACAGAAATCACCCAAGGTTCACAGCGGCAAGTAATAAGATGGAGTTTGGCTTCCCAAAAACTTTGGTGGAGTATTTAGGATGTAAGGTAGGTGGTGGTGGAGATCCATTGACATACTACATCCCTTTCAACATGGGAAAGAAAAATTTGGTTGGATTAGTCGTGGATTGTGCAACATGGAAAGTTTTAGTTCTCGAAAACAATGTCACCCACTGTAGTGACAATTACGTGTTGATGGAGCTCACCCCACTATGCGAAATGTTTCCGTATCTCTTAAAACAAAGCTTACATGATGCGGGAGGAGGAGACATGGCTCGCTTGGGGGTTGATCGTGCTAAAGGCCTTACACAAAACATTCCTATAAATGATACAGGTGTGATGGCCGTAGTGCAGATAGGGACACATGCAACACACGGCATCGAAGCTTGTTGGGGTCTAAGTCCAGATGTTGTTTCCGAAGAGGCTAGGGCCGCAGCTGTTGTAGCTTATGAGTTGAGTGAAGACAAGTAGGACTGTTATGTTTTTTTCGTTTGATTATGGGGTTCGATGACGCGATGGTGATTCAGTACTTCTGTAACATTCATGTTTTCAACCGATAAACTATTTTAATTCAGATTTTTACTATAAATCTCTTCAATAGTGTTTGTAAATTTGATATATTTCCTACTGTTACAAAAAATGCAAATAGAATGAATGTGGTAAAAGTGGAATTGAAAACCGGTAAATGTTATTAAAACGGTTTGAGTAACGTAAAACAGGTTATATATTTTGTTATATAAGGTGGGGAACATAACCGGTAAGTTATTAAATCCTATATACTTAACCGGATATGTTGTACAGCAGATGGTCTGGGGTTAAGAAATTATAACGCTATGATCTAATGTATTAACCGGATATAAGATGGCATATACAATCGATGAGATTTATGGCAAATATCCAGTTATCTTAACATAGAAGATTATGCTCACAATAAAAGAAGTACATATTGAAAATAGGAACCAACCACATAATACGTAAAGGGTGCAATATAATTTAACATAACACACTCGGGAATTATATTACATTCATGCCTCAACCAAATCTGGATATTAGACCACAACATAACTTATTCTTTTGCTGCCCAGTAACAGCACCTTCCATTCATGCCATACACCTTCATCATCCGAGTGATAGAAGTACCAACAACAAGGAGAGCATTTCATATAGCCATCTTGCAAGTAGCCCTGTTATGACCACTTTGCTTGCAACGGCTACATATGTGAAGCTTGCGCATTGGTTTATTCTGCGTAGTGTATACGTAGAGAGTTAGACGGAAAAACATGGAAATATGTCTAAGAAATTCTAACGCTATGAAATAAATTGAGAACCACTTACTATAAATTCGCCTCTAGACAGAAAACGGTTTTTTTTAGGCCTTCGAGGTGGGCGTCGGGAAGCCGGAGGAACAACATGAAGATGAGAGGCAGAAAGTTCTGCTGAGAGCAACTCAACATCAACACACTCCGTAACAGGACATATGTTTTTGTCATATGCAGCAGCAAGACTTCTGATACTATATTCTGCGGAAACAAGGGACTCAACACTGATTTTAGCAACAACAGCCGCAGAGACAGCATGTGGGCAAGGTATTTTAAGGCTTTGGAATTTATAACAACTGCAAGTCCCACCGGTTAAGTTAACATGGAATGACAACCCCACCTTGTCAACAACATGATATTCTGAGGTGTTAATCTTGTTTACGCCAAACCCGCCACTGAGATCAAAGTTACCAGCAAGTACCTCCATAACACGCGGAGTGAGCTTGTTGGCCGAATTATATGCTATATCACGACGCATTGCGAACCAACTCATCAGTTTGCCTCTAATAAATTCAATGAGAGGCAAGATCGGAAACGCCCTAGCTTCACGGAGTGCGGAATTCAAAGACTCCGCAACATTGCTGGTCATCATATTGTACCTCTCTCCCGGGAAATGCGAACGTGCCCAATGCTCAAATCCAATCCCAATAAGGTAGTCAGCACAAGAAGGGTTGACTGACTTAATCTCATTGAAAACTTTGTAGAACTCTGAGAGCATGAAAGCTCGGGCTGCCTTACCCACCAGGTAGCCAAGGTGCTTATCCTTGAAGTAGGTTTTGATGTTCCTCTTCAGGTGGAGTATACATGCGCAGTGTCTTGCAGTAGGGTACACCTGAATGATGAAGGAGGTCATATAAATGAGTCAAAATCATTTATTTTATTATGTCAGAATAAGTGGAAAGTGAAAATATTTAATGTAATTACTGAGTGCACTAACCTTAGCAATAGCATAATATATGGAAGCATGTCTGTCAGAAACGAAAACAATTTCTTCTGCATTTGGGACTATTTCCAAAAGATTACGTAGGAACCACTCCCATGACTTGTCATTCTCACTGTCAACAATATCCACTGCCAAGGGGTACACCTGATAGTTTCCATCTTGTACTGATGCAGTGAGAATACAACCAGCATACTTACCCCTCAAATGAGCACCATCAACAACTACCACATTTCTCATGAATGAAAAGCCTTCAATAGACGCACCCATGGCCAAAAACATGTACTTAAATCTGTGTCCAACCCCTTCAACGTAATCTGTTTCTAGTTTAGTCAACGTTCCTCGGTTTGCATGCACAAGTCTTGCCAAGTAGTTGGGTAGGAGGTCATACGAAGCACCAGATGTTCCTTTGGCGTAATCTAAAGCTACCTCTCGTGATCGCCATGCTTTCCAATAGGAAATTCTGACATTGTAATCTCCCTGCATTACCTGCATTATCTCATGTGGCTTTGGGCCACCACCTGATCCGGAAAACCTAGCCTTCATCATTTCACCAATGACAGAGTGTGTAGCTTGACTTTGATATCCTATCATGAAAGAATGAAATGAGAATGGTAACAGTTGCGAAGGTTTCATTGCTACGACAATGTATACTCGGAAAGAAGTGAAGATTTGTAGGGACAGACACGTTGTAATTGTAAAACGGATACCTAATGAGAGACTATATAGGTTGTAATTGTTAACCGGATACATAATAATTGTAACGGATAATATAACTATAATCCGTATAACAAAATGTAAAAGCAGGTAATAAACCCTAGAGTACAAACTTCAATTTGTTAAGAGTAGCCATTATTGTAAATTAAAAAAGTGTGTAATGAAAATGTTGTAATGGGATTAAGGTAAATATAATACTTTTTAGTAATTAGTAAAGAATTAGAGGAAACCCTACTATATGCTATATAGGTTGTAATTGTTAACCGGATAGAATATATTATTATCGGGAAAAAAAAACTATAATCTGTATAATCTAATATAAAACCGGATAATAAACCCTAGGTTAGAAACTTCATTTTCTTAAGAGTAGCCCTTATTGAAAGGTGTGTAATGAAAATGTTGTATTAAGATTCAGGTAACTATAATACAATTTGTATTAATTAATATAGAATTACAGACAACCTTAGTATATCCTATATAGGTCATAAGTGTTAACTGGATATATAATATTATTATCGGAAAATATAACTATAATCCGTATAATATAATGTAAAACAAGATAATAAATAGTGTGTAATGAAAATGTTGTAGCGGGATTAAGGTAAATATCATACGTTTTGTAATCAGTAAAGGATAAGAGAAAACCTTGGTATAGCCTATATAGGTTGTAATTGTTCGGAAGGTAAAAAAATATATATATATATATATATATATATATATATATATATAAAATAGATTACATACTTCATTTACATACTTCATTTTCTTAAGAGGAGCCCTTATAGTAAAGAAAATAGTGTATGAGGAAAATAGGGTATCATGAAAATAAGAAAACGATTTGTACTAAACAATAGATAATATTTGTACTAATCAATAGAGAATAAGTCAAACCCTAATAAGGGATTATATATGATGCAAATGTTAAATTATTCAAATGAACCAGAAAGCTAAATGTATACTAATACATACCCGCTCTGTCATCAACGGTGCAATAGTGGTGTTTCTCCAGCTTACGGATTTCATAGGCATCGACGTTCTTCAGACGTACAGCATATACACGCCACTTACATGTGTTGCTATAGCATTTTAACACCATGCCATCGGGCGCAGATCTTGTGATACGAAATCTGAATTTGTTTGTGATTGCATGAATCGCAATGCGGTGTTTGAAAGCATCCCTAGATTTGAAAGTCATGCCTACGGAAATATCGTCTGAATGATTGTTTTGAAGCCCTACATTTGTAAAACAATCAAAGTATGAACACCTAAAGAGAGGAATTGTTTAGAGTTTTAAACAAACATCTTAATACATAAGCCAAATATTTCACATTACATGCCTCCGGTAAGTGGGGATATATAACAAAAAGCCAAACTTCCGGTTACCAAAAAAACAAAATAGATACGCAGGACAACCATCAGTCCATAAAGCTGAAAATACACAAAATGCAGATTATTCTTAAAGGATCTAAGGCTGAGTTCCAAACAGACCAGTGTCACCGCCTACTTCGGAGGAGGAGTCATCAACGACGACAACAGAATGGGCTCCACCTGTTTGTTTTGCACTGCCGATCCCTAAACTTAGGTCGAGAGAAGGTCCACTCACTTCCATCCCAGCATCATCAGATACAAGGTTGACCGTGGTCTTTTTGGTAGATGTTGAGTAGGCAGTGGTCTTGGTGGCAGTAGGACCTGTATTACCAAAACACATTTGCGAAACATGATTGAAAACGTGAAATAAATTAAATTAATAATGGAAGAGGCAAACAGAACGTACGAATATCACCGGTGAGAAGAATACACTCATCAGAAGAGTCAGAGATAGAGTGAGCACCAACTTTCTCTCCGGTGTTATCAGCCTCAGGTTGTGGTACATCATCACCAAGAGAGTTACTTTTGTTTCCAACGACCACAGTGGGTGGGAGCTTTGTTGTAGGGGGGTCGGATGTGCCGTCGTTTGCCTCATACACAGCTTCCCAGTCATTTGCATAGTCACACATTTGAGGAGTTGAAACGTGTGGCTTGTTCACTAGACGACCTCTTTCAATTTCCAGACTAGCACCACGGAATATATCGGAGGAATGATCAGGTGAGATGGGAGTGAATGCATTTGCTTGTGATATATTATGCTCTTGCATTGGATCTTGAAAACCTCGTAACAAATATTCAGTTACACAAATATTCAGTTTCAAATATTTAGTTTCAAATATTCAGTGATAACAATCATCAGCCAAAATCCAAATATAGATGAAAATATTATTTATCAATAACTTGGAATGCAACCTACCAGTGCGGTTAGTAGGAGTGGGAGTGAGAGCTGCGGTTGGGTTGGCTATGAAATCAACATTTGGTAGACGGCCTTCAAGAGAAATTATAGGAGCTTGAGGTTCCATGTTGGGGTTGATGTTGGATCCATGGTTACCACGACTGGTAGAGAGAGCAAGATCAATCTCCATTGAGAGACGGTAGATTCCCAGAAGCTGCTGTTGATCACATAAAACCTCGAGCATTCTTGTAGCACAGCTCATTGGACGATTTCCAGACAGCTCTGAACAGTTGAAAATACAAAAAACAAAGGAAAGTAAGTAATGTGTTGTATGAAAAATCTTTGTCATTGGTGAAATTGTCAGAGTTACACTAACCTCTGATAAACTGAAGATGCGCAGACTCAAAAACACCCGGTTGAAGAAAAGATGTGTTCCCTAGACTGAAAGGAGTTCGACAGAAGAACTGGTACCGAGCAACATCTTCAGGTCCTGAAGTAACATAGAGGACAAGAACATCATTGTACTCTCGAACTGTCATCATTACTTCAACGTCCCTAGACTCGACAAGGTTGACAGGCTGGGGTCTAGGACCATTGGGTAGAAACATCCAGTCAGGGAACTGGTATGTTAAAACGAGGGAGTGTCTGGTCCCAACTCCAACCTCACACGAACAATGGTCTTCAAGTCATCGATAGTCTCATTATCACGGACGAGAATAGCTTCACCATAGTATTCACTAGTGTTCACGAAATTCCAGTTGCCTGCTTCAGATTTGACCCACACTCCTTGTTCAAGATGCAAAATCCTTCCCATCTAAATAAGCAAAAGAAACTACCATTAAAGAAGTTTGTAAATCAATTAGGGTTCGTAATAAATGACCCCACAAACCAAAAATAGGCCGACAGATTTAAAAGGAAAACAAATACAAACAAGTTTTACCTTTTCTCAAGATATTCTCCAAACTCCCGGTATATTGTTTTTGAAACTGGAAAAGATATTTTGTGCTTTAGAAAGTTGAAGACAGGGAGTTCTGATTTATAGCAAGATGTGTGGTGGAAACCGGCGATATGTACACATATACAAAGAAGATGTGAATCCAGCTCATGTTGTAGCCTGAGCCTATAACATCATAGAGGTCAAGTTAGGCGTCTGAGGTGACGTAAAAAGACAAGCCGCTCAAATTTTAAATTTTAAGAACTGGAACTAATCTGTTTCCCTCCTAAGTAAACCGGAAGTACTTGCCTAAATTAGGGTTTCTAGACATCGGGTAAGTTGAGTAAAACCGGTTCGATCCCAAGGAATTGAGATAAATGATCTCGTCGGTTTAACGAAACCAGGAAGATATTTTTCTTCCTTCCCTCACGGTTGTATCCGATGATTGACACTTGTCCTGGCTTTTCGAAATTGAAAGAGACACCTTTTGAAAGGTCGGAAAAGATAGGATCAGGCCATATGTTCTTTGTTTCCCTATTCAAATTCCAAAAAAAAAGTGACAAGAGAGAATCGTCATCAATATGACAAGGTCAACGTCGGCATCGTCATCTTCATCGACTGCCGTAAAAAGCATTGATGTTGGACCTCTATGTCGGTGTTCAAGAGCTACAAAAGTGACATTGTCGTGATCAGATGACAATCCGGGCCGGCGTTTCCACCGTTGTGAGATCCACGGATTCGTGAGCTGGGCTGACACAGAAGAACCCTCAAATTGGCTGAAGGAAAGTTTATTGGAGGCGAGGGATCAGATAAGGCATTACAAACGAGAGGCAGCGAGTTTACGGTCTACATTAGCTGAAAGCAACGTTATTATTGAGATGTTAAGGTCAAGTGCAAGGGGAAACGAAGATGTGGAAATACATCCATCTGAATATCAAATGTTGGATATGTTTAATGCGACAAACAAGACAATGCGCATCATGTTCATCATCACCTGGGTTTTACTTTTACTTGCAACAGCCGTAATCGTTTCAATTATGGCTGAATAAAGTGGACAAATGTGGATCAGTATTGTGTTGTATGTTTAACAACTTCGCTATGTTTGAGATTTCATGTTCTAATATGTATCACTCCTTTATGTACTCTCTGTTTCATAATTATATAAAAATGACTCCTTTAGTATATACCGTAATTGTATATGGTTACCTCTATGTTGTTTTCCAATAATAAACAACCAATAAGACTGACTTCTGAGGACTTTAACTAGTATTTTCGGGATACAATAAAGAGACAATAAAAGGATGGTTACATTCATTGCATTTTTACACTCGACAGATAGATATAATTTGCTGATAATATAGGAGACATGCAATGGCCCATCTAGAGTTATGTTTTTGTGCAAAACATAGCCTACGGGCTACGGGGGAGGCAATAGAGGAGAGTTTCGTCATTCCAGGTACCACCCGATACCCACTTACCTAATTAAGAAAACGTTGTAGTCAATCACCTAATAAAAATCTTACTCTTAGTTATAGAGTGCAATAACTCTTTTCTTTTTTGGTATAACTGCCTCTAAAACCATGTTTAATATTTTAATTTGAAAACCTGATATATTTTATTCCCATGTCAATATCGTGTTCAGTTTTCTGCATAACTTAAACTCCTATTTTAATTTAATGAGATACATATATTATCTTTACTCTTATTTGTTATTTAATAATATGGCCCATATCTAATTTAAATTGTGAATATTTACTTAACAAATAAGAACATTCCAGGAACCAAATAAATTATTCTTAGATCAAATTCAAAACATACATAAATTTAAAAGTTATTTACAAAAACTTATACAGGAAAAAAATTAAACATTATATTCATACTTTTTTGGTCTAATTATTTATGACCTATTGATAAATGTTTAATCCAACAATTTATTATTTGTGTTTACTCATTTATATTAATAATACTAGGTTTTTTATATTATTGATAAATAATTAAACAAATACTATTACAAATAAAATATAAATATACATATAAAACTAAATTCTAAAAAATAAAAATAAAAATATACCCGCCCTTTTAAGGGCGGGTCAAAGTCTAGTTTCTTTTAAAAAAATGGTCTAACATGTGAATAATGATCAAATTAATTTTAATGAAATGTTAATAATTAATTGAAATTTAGGTGACATAAATCGCAAATTACAAGATAGCCCTAAGATTAAACGTTAAGCTTCTTCTTTTTAATAATAAAACGTTATAAGCTTGAGTGACAACACATTCTAAAACTTTGAAGTTATGACAATTTCCCTAATATTCTATTAACTTTGAACTAATAAGAGACTACATGACAATATATTCTAAAACTTTGAATTGATGAGAGGCTATATGATAATCTGTTACAGAAAACTTAATGTTGTGGCGATCTTTAGAAAAACAATTGGTAGGTTAAATGAAGTGTGAACAAAATTCTAGAAATTTCTACAAAACAAGTATAATTTCCTTCTTAACCTTTTTCCCCTGCTTGTAAACTTTTTGAATTCCAATTGTTAAGTTTAATCAAATCCTTACCTATTATCCAAAAATGAATAAAAAGAGAGAGAATCAAATCCAACAAAAAGTTTGCATTTCTCCCAAGTCTTCCAGCGTACCCATGATCCAGTTTACCATTTCTTTTTGTTGTTAAAGACCCACTAGTTCTTCCCTTTTCGTTTTTTATATAGCCCTCTTGCTTGTTCCTCATGCCTTTCTTTCAGCTAGATGTTTTCTGTCCTTAACAATCTTTTTGTTTTTAAAAGGGTGATATTAGTTTTGGGTTTTGGCATCTTTGCAAAACATTCCTTGCCAACCCTTGTCTTCTACATGGTTGAGGTAAGGGTTTCATCCTCGTTACACTTGTTTTCAGTTCTGATCCAGGCTACTTTCTTTGCTTATCCTACATATCCACTTGTCCATAAAGTTTCTAGCTCACAGTCTCTTATTTTGTGACTACTTGCTGTTTGTTTATCAAACTGTCAGGAACTAAGAAAGCCAAAAATGTCTTGGGTTCTGTTGAGTATCATTGTTCTGAGTGGTTATGAGATCATTTCAGAGGGAGCTTCGAGTCTTCATGTTGTGAACGTTGGAGCAGTCTTCAGTTTAAGCACTTTACATGGTGAAGTTGCAAATATCGCCATGAAAGCTGCAGAGGACGATGTAAACTCCGATCCTAGCTTCCTTGGTGGGTCGAAACTGCGTATAATGATGTATGATCCTAAGCGCAACGGATTCCTCAGCATCATGGGAGGTGAATAAAAGCTTAACTTTCTTTACATATTCGTTCTCAATGTTTAAAAACTTGGTTAGGCAATAATTAGACGCTTTGTATATGCCTAACTAAAATTATTCCTAGACGTTAATAAGTTAATTATTTTATTTATTATATTAATTTATGTTATATCATTTTTACTTTTGGTGTAATTGTAAAATTATTTTGAAGAATTATCAAAGATTAGATATACAGAAATCAAATATGTGGACTTGCACAAATATTGTTGTCTGATATTATTGGTTTACACCAATTTATATAGTTTATAGCTTTTTAACCTGATTTAAAACGGTTTAAATCGTTTTGAGCATTTAAAACAAATCTTTTTGGCTTATGGTCGATTTGTAGAACATTGTTGGTTCTTGTTTAAAAAACTTGCTCTTACGTATCTTTCTGTTTCTTTTGATTGATCACAGTGTTGAAATTCATGGAGACTGATGCTGTGGCTATAATTGGTCCTCAGACATCAACAATGGCTCATGTTATGTCTTATATTGCAAATGAGCTTAACGTACCTATGTTGTCATTCACAGCTTTAGACCCTAGTCTCTCACCGCTCCAGTTCCCCTTCTTTGTCCAAACAGCACCTAACGATCTCTTTCTGATGCGTGCCATAGCAGAAATGGTATCTTACTACGGTTGGTCAGACGTGGTTGCATTGTACAACGATGATGACAACAGCAGAAACGGTGTAACATCCTTAGGGGACGAGCTTGGAGAAAGACGCTGCAAGATCTCTTACAAGGCGGTGCTTCCTCTGGATGTTGTGATCACTAGTCCACGTGAGATCATAGATGAGTTAACCAAGATCCAAGGGATGGAGTCTCGTGTAATCATTGTGAACACATTCCCTAAAACAGGTACCATGATCTTTGAGGAAGCCAAGAAGCTTGGCATGATGGAACAAGGCTATGTCTGGATAGCAACAACTTGGTTGACTTCTCTTCTGGATTCAATGTACTTTCTACCTCCCAAGAGGATAGAAACCATTAGAGGAGTGCTCACTCTTCGTATCCACACTCCAGAATCAAGAAAGAAAAGAGACTTTGTGGCAAGGTGGAACAAGTTGAGTAATGGAACTGTGGGGCTAAACGTGTATGGACTCTATGCATATGACACTGTATGGATCATTGCTAGAGCTGTTAAAAGTCTTCTAGATAGTGGAGCTAACATTTCCTTCTCCAGCGATTCCAAGTTAACCAGCTTGAAGGGTGGAACACTGAATCTAGGTGCAGTGAGCATATTTGATCAAGGACCAAAGTTTCGTGATTATATAGTAAATACAAAGATGTCTGGTGTCACAGGTCCAGTACAGTTTCTTCCAGACAGATCAATGTTTCAGCCTGCTTATGACATTATAAACGTGGTCGGTGACAAGTTTAAGCAGATAGGTTACTGGTCTAACCATTCTGGTCTCTCTGTTATACCTCCTGAGTTATTATACAGTAAGCCAGCAAACCGTTCTAGCTCAAACCAGCATCTGTATAATGTGACTTGGCCTGGTGGGACGTCTGAGACGCCACGTGGATGGGTGTTCCCTAAAAATGGGAGGAGATTGAGAATTGGTGTGCCTAATAGAGCAAGCTTTAAGGACTTTGTGTCGACTGCTAATGGAAGCAACAAAGTTGAAGGGTACTCCATTGATGTCTTTGAAGCTGCAATAAAACTGCTTCCTTATCCTGTTCCTCATGAGTTTGTCCTCTTTGGAGACGGCCTCAAGAACCCAAACTACAATGAAATTGTCAACAATTTCTCTACAGGGGTGAGTCAAAAGGATCAAGAGATCACAAACAGAGCCTTATTCAAGAGAATTGACTGTAACAGAGTTGAGTTATTTTTCAGGTGTTTGATGCTGTGGTAGGTGACATAGCCATTGTTAAAAGACGAACAAGGATTGTGGACTTCACTCAGCCATACATAGAGTCAGGGCTTGTTGTGGTTGCTGCTGTCACAAAGCTAAATGATACTCCCTTGGCGTTCTTAAGACCTTTTACTCCTCCTATGTGGGCTGCAACAGCAGCTTTTTTCCTCATCATTGGATTAGTAATATGGATTCTTGAACATAGGATCAACGATGAGTTCCGTGGACCACCTAGGAGTCAAGTTGTTACAATAATCTGGTTAGTAAACAGTCACTGAAGCTGCAATAATCCTATATGCTGGTGTTATAACATACCTATTCTCATGCAGGTTCACATTCTCGACGATGTTTTTCTCCCACAGTAAGTTCATAGTCCAACTCCATCTTTTTTTTGAACACCTGTGCAACTCCAGCTAGTTATTAGATATTGGATATTTTGGATCTTGAAAACTTGGTACCGGTCGGATAGTTTAGAATTTCGGATTCCGTTCGGTATCTTTCTGGTACAATTCAGTTGGTTTATATCCAAAAGAACCAGAAAAAAACTCAGATCTAGTTCGGATCCACTCGTTATAACCAAAGGTATAGTACAAAATAACCAATTTTGTCCGGAATACTTGGCTCGGGTCAGGTGTTTTATATCCAAACATATCCAATAATATTTAAAATATCTAAAATAATTAAAACTATCCGAATTATCCAAAAAACTAACTACTATATTCAAATTTTTAATATTTGAATTACTACATATGTTTTTGGCTTTAGTTCGAATTCGGATCCGGATATAAAAATCAGGTACAGTTGACATTTATGTTGGATTGGATTTGGTTTGGTACCTTATAAAATTAGAGTCTAATCTGGATAATTTGGCCGGGTCTAGAGTTTACTAATATCTTGGAGATGTTCAAACTTGCAGGAGAGAATACAGTGAGCTCACTCGGTCGTATTGTGTTGCTTATCTGGCTTTTTGTGGTTCTGATCATCACTTCAAGCTACACAGCTAATCTTACGTCGATTCTTACAGTGCAACAGCTTAACTCACCGATCAAAGGAGTAGACACACTCATGGGCAGCAGCGAACGTGTTGGGTTTCAAGTAGGTTCTTACGCTGAAAACTACATGATTGATGAGCTTAACATCGCCAGGTCCAGACTTGTGGCACTTGGCTCTCCAAAAGAATTCGCTACAGCTCTACAAAACGGAACTGTCTCTGCTATTATTGATGAACGTCCTTATGTTGATCTCTTCCTCTCTGAGTTCTGTGGGTTTGCTATCAGAGGCCAAGCGTTCACTAGAATTGGCTGGGGGTTTGTAAGTAACCCTTCTCTTGAAGTCTCTCTAAGCATTGTCTGAACATGTATCTTGATCATCTTGTTTTGTTTGAAGGCATTCCCAAGAGATTCTCCGTTAGCAGTTGACATGTCGACAGCGATCTTAGGTCTGTCTGAAACAGGACAGCTTCAAAAGATACGTGAAAAGTGGCTTTCCAGATCTAACTGTAGTAACCTGAATGGTTCACACTCACATGATGATCAAGAACAGCTTACGCTCCATAGCTTCTGGGGGTTATTCCTTATGTTTGCGGTTGCTTGTTTCATCGCTCTCTTTATCTACTTCTTTAAGATAGTCCGAGACTTTTGCAACGACCACAAGCCTGAGGAAGAAGCTATAGTACCTTCACCAGAAAGCTCGCATTGTAACACATTGCAGACGTTTCTTGCTTACTTTGACGAGAAGGAAGACAAAACCAAGAGAAGGTTGAAGCGTAAACGGAACCATGATCTCTCTGTAAAGTTTTCTAGACCAATGTGACGGATCAAATCATCACTCAACTCAAGCAATCTTCTTCAGGCAACAACATACCTAATAATAAGAAAAGGAGATTTTGATCATGTGATCCTCCAAAACATATGACTTGGAGAATACGGTACATTATTGATGCAAGAAGCTAGAACAAAAAAATTGATGCATACATTCCCGAAACGTATCTTACTTTTTATAGTGACATATCTTACTTTTTATAGTGACTTTTGTGAATTTTTTTTTTTTAAATTGCTTATTTGTTTCCACTGCATTCATTCTTAAGAAAAAAAGGGGATAGACATATCTTACTTTTTATAGTGACATATCAAATTTCATTTATGAAATCTTAATTTTTTGGTAAGATTCTTGAGATATAAAAATAACTTAAATGTATCATTCTTCTTGAAAGTTTTAAACTAATAACATAATTATAAATAAATAAACTTTTTTCACATTAACTTAGAACTGAAAATATAAAATATGTAAATATTTATAATTTTATAAATATATTTGTTATTAAATGTTTGCATTATACTTTATTTATTAATCAATATGAAAACAACTAATCAAATTGTCAAATTATTGAATTTATTAATGTATAATCATCACCTAAATATGTTTGTTGAACGACTATCTGTCAATTCATTGAATTAATTAATAAATTACTTTATATAATTCAAATGAAAATATAATCCGCATTTATTAAGTTATTAATAACTTAACTTATCATTTTAATATGTCTTAACTAAAATAAATAAAAAACTAAACTTTATAAGTTTAAATAAAAGAAATTAAAATAAATATAATCATCAATATAATATAATAGAATTTTTTTTTCTATAGTATAAGTTTAACAAAATATAAACAAAAAAGTAAAATTGGACAAATTAAATAGAAATATCCCCTCTGTATTATTTGCGAAGTGATTTTGCTGAATGTCATCTCTACAATTAGTTTTACACAAAAAATGTGACATGGCTATTAAAATTGATGACATGGCTTATGGTCAAATATGACATGGATAATTACATTTAATCTTGATTTATATTTTTAATAATTTTTTTAAATATAGTAATAACGCATACTTTACATTTAATATTGATACTTATTTATGGTATAAAACTTAAATATGGTAATAACTTATAAATCATATTTAAAAAAATATATTCAAATATAACCACTACAAGAAAACTAAGGCATTACTAGGAAAGTTTACTAGGAAAACATTTCCTCGTAAAACTACTACGAGTTTACTTCGAGTTTACGAGGAAACAACTTTTCCTCGTAAAGTTCTCGTAAACTTACGAAAAAGAGTTTCCTCGTAAACTCGAAGTAAATTTACGAGGCCCTTACGAGGAAAAAGTTATTTTCCTCGTAAACTCATAGTAAAACTTTTCCTCGTTAAGTCCTAGTAATTGTTTACTACGAAATTAGGAGGAAAAGATTTGTTACTACGAAATTAAGAGGAAATTGATAGAAAATATCGAATATTAATCAAAAACGTGTTTTGTACCTACTTTTCCTAGCAATTTCCTAGTAAATGCTCAGATTCGAAAATTTCTATAAATACCACCATATGTGATTCATTTGAAACACACCAAAAAAAAATTAGCTATAAGCTTGATCAAACAAAAAAAAAAATGTCCGGTCCGGGAAGTATTTTCGAGTTGCGGAAGTGGATGTATTCACACAGAGATAATAACGGGAGGGTGACGAAAGAATTTCTCGAAGGATTGGAGACGTTTATGCATCAAGCAGATTCTACACCACTCACGCAGGAAAGTGATAAGATGTTCTGTCCTTGTCGGAAATGTTGCAATACCAAATTAGGCCCTCGTGAAAATGTTTGGAAGCATTTAATAAATAGAGGTTTCATGCCATATTATTATATTTGGTATCAACATGGAGAAGATGCTAGTTGTAGGAATGAAGGTAGCAGTAGTAATAGCTATCATCACCAAGAGGAACAAATGGTAGATTGTGATAGGGTTCATGATATTGTAGGTGATGCCTTTGTAAATCATGATGATGATGAAGTTGAAGAACCTAACTTAGATGCCAAAAAGTTTTATGAAATGTTAGATGCTGCGAATGAGCCAATTTACAGTGGTTGTAGAGAAGGTCTGTCTAAATTGTCGTTGGCTGCTAGAATGATGAGTATTAAAACCGATCACAATCTACCTGAAAAATGTATGGATGCATGGGCAGACTTGTTTAAANATGCCAAAAAGTTTTATGAAATGTTAGATGCTGCGAATGAGCCAATTTACAGTGGTTGTAGAGAAGGTCTGTCTAAATTGTCGTTGGCTGCTAGAATGATGAGTATTAAAACCGATCACAATCTACCTGAAAAATGTATGGATGCATGGGCAGACTTGTTTAAAGAGTATTTGCCAGAAGACAATGTGTCTGCTGAATCATATTATCAGATTCAGAAATTCGTATATAGTCTAGGGTTGCCCTCGGAGATGATAGACGTTTGCATCGACAACTGCATGATTTACTGGGGAGATGATGAGAAGTTAGAAGAATGTCGATTTTGTAAGAAGCCACGATTCAAACCGCAAGGTCGAGGGCATAATAGTGTACCGTACCAAAGGATGTGGTACCTACCAATCACATACAGATTGAAAAGATTGTACCAATCTGAGGAGACTGCTGGAGGGATGAGATGGTACGCCGAACATACTCAGACGGATGGAGAGATGACTCATCCATCAGATGCAAGAGCCTGGAAACATTTTAACAATGTACATCCACATTTCGCTAGCAATAGCCGGAATGTGTATCTTGGATTATGCACTGATGGATTTAGTCCATTTGGAATGTCTGGGAGACAATATTCATTGTGGCCGGTCTTTCTTACACCGTATAANTTTGTGGACCATAAGTGACTTTCCTGCATATGGTATGTTGTCTGGGTGGACTACACATGGGAGATTAGCTTGTCCGTATTGTAATGGAATGACAGATGCGTTTCAGTTGAAGCATGGTAGGAAGACTAGTTGGTTCGATTGTCACCGTCGATTTCTTCCCATTCACCACCCATACCGAAGAAACAAGAAATTGTTCAGGAACAAAAGGGTTGTTAGAGACACTGCTCCTCCATATTTAACTGGAGAACAAATCGAAGCACAAATCGATTACTACTGTGCTCTGGAAATAGCTCCTCACGGTGGGAACTGGCATGTTCCCAGTAATATGCCTGATTCTTATGGTGTTCAGCACAATTGGCACAAAAAGAGTATATTTTGGGAATTGCCATATCGGAAAGATTCTTTTGCGCCACAACCTCGATGTGATGCATATAGAGAATAACTTTTGAGAACATCATGAACACTATATTGAATGTCCCAGGGAAGACGAAAGAGAACGTAAAATCAAGGTTGAACTTACCCGATATCTGCTCAAGGAGTGAGCTACATATACAAAGCAATGGGCAAGTTCCAGTTCCAATATTCAGACTGTCATCAGAAAAAAAGTCTGCGTTGTTCAACTGGGTGGCTTCAGAAGTGAAGTTTCCTGATGGGTATGTTTCAAATCTCTCAAGATGTGTGAAAGGCGAAACAGATTTCTACGGGATCTTGCAGGAGATTTATGAAGTTCAATTCCCGGGAATTGGTTTGAAATGCGTTATCTTCAAGTGTGAGTGGTACGACCCCGTCGTAAACAGAGGTGTTCGGATTAACAAGAACGGTGTAGTTTATGTCAACGGTGGACGAAGGTACACCAAATTCTTTTTTTTTTTAATATCAAGGTCTTCAATATTACTTAATTTTTACGTATTGATATTTTTTCGTAGGTACAAAAAGTTCGAGCCTTTCATATTAGCTTCCCAAGCAGATCAAGTTTGCTTCATTCCATACCCTCGGATTACTACCTCGGGAATAAAATGGTTAGCTGTTATCAAAGTTACACCTCGAGGAAGAATAATCGCTGGAGAAGAACCACCATTACAAGAAGAAAACACCAATGAGATCGAGGAAGCTGAAGCAGAAATTGATGACATCCTACTCATTGATCCGCATAATCGTCAATACGAAGATGTTCCTGATCACTCAACGGACGAAGGTGTAGACGACGAGTTTTTAG